TTTTAAAAAACCGCCTGTAATTCAAAAAATTCCTTGCAAACTTTTAGTATAAGACAAGCCTCTTTATTGTAAACCTGACCTTAATGTCTGTTTTATGACTTTAAAAAATTGCGCATATTCATTGTTTTGATTGTCGCTCAGTGAAAATCGGTCGGTGCCACTGGAGTAGTGAGAGAAAACCCGTAAATCTTATAAGATTTCGGATTTCTCTTGGCGGCACTCATATAGTAAATATTAATTATGCAACAGGGGTTGCCAATCAGTAAAATTCGTGTTGATTGGTTAATATGTGAAATTCGATATAGATATGTAAAATAAGTAAAATCCAAGATGGGGATGGTGGAATCCGCTATCAAAAAAGTTTTCTAAAACTTTGAGCGAAGATATCTCGATACCCGCTTGTCCAAATTCGATGAAAATTTTATTTGAATTCTATGAATATATAGAATTCAAATGAAAATTTTCATCGAATTTGATCAGGTGAGTTGTTGAGATATTTTTACTCAAAGTTTTAGAACAAAATGCTAAACATCTCAAAATATAAGCTATGACATATTTATTAAAACTTGGCATCCAAATTCGATGAAAATTTTTTTATTTGAATTCTATAAATTCATAAAATTCAAATAAAAAATTTTCATCACGTTGGTGGATGGTTGTCGAGATACAGAATCTTCGCTCAAAGGTTTAGAAAATCTAGCGCAGCTTCTATTTTGATAGATGGTTGAGCTTTTTTTTCTAAAACTTTGAAAGAAGATATCTCGATAGCCACCTGATCAAATTTGATAAAATTTTTTTATTTGGATCCTGTAGATTCATAGAATACAAATAAATAATTTTTATCGAATTGGTCATGTGGTTGTCGATATATCTTTGCTCAAAGGTTTAGAAAAAAAAAGGTTTGTTTTGATAGCGTATTTCACCCTACCCATATCGGATTTTCATATCTATATCGGATTTCACGAGATCTTATCATTTTTCCGACAGCCACTTTCCAACAATGTCAAAATCCTGACAAGTTAGCCTGCATTAGGTTAGGATTTGTGTTAGTTCCAGTTAATTTTTGTCGAGAAAATGATAAGAGATCCGGATTTCACATTCATATAATAACTGATCAACTGATTGGCAACGCTGTTTCGTCCTGTCGTATTATAATTTACATATTGCTCTTGTCTGTTTTTCTAAAATTGCATGACTTACATGCACATATAAGGCAATAGTTTAATAGTTGCATGGTTATTTTATAATTAAATTTATAATTGAAATCATATACTGTATTTAAATAATCAATCGAAATCAAAACTCCATGATGATTACTTTTGTTTTTAATCTTAATATAGTTTAGAATTGTTTGCCTTCAAAGATTTATTTAGTAATTATCTTGATCCAATTGCATTTCCGCTTTTATTTTTAGCATAAAATCAAGCTGCCTTATATAAACCTATCATCATTTCATTGGCCTTTATAATTTAACTATTATAAAAAATATAATAAAATTATCATCGTTATTAACATTTGGTATATAAATTTTGTTTTAATAACAATTTTTTGTTTATAAAAATAAGGAAGTTGAATAAACTTTAAGCATAAAATCTATAAAGCTTTTTTATGAATCTGAAATATTTCATATTCTTCTACTGAAAAATATGAGTTACAATTGATATAAGATGACGCGCTTCTAATTGGATTTTCATAATACTCGGAACCATCACTATGATAGCAATAACATTGATTAACTTGGTTATAATTATTTATCATATAAAGATTATAATAAAATACGGGACCACAGGCTTTAGGATAATTGTGAATTGCATTATCTGGAACCTTTACACGACTTAAAATAGATTTTTGAACTGTACCATTTTTCAATGAAAAAGTAAAACTATCATTGCAATTCACAACGCTTTGAACATCTTTGTTCCATCCAATAGGATTATATCCACCAAGAATTTCATCAGTTCCATTAACCTTCATAACTACAACAAGATCTGTTTTCTTATCACATAAATTCCAGAATGAATCTCTGGTAAAACCATCCCTAGTTCCACGAAGAAGTAATTTAAATTCGTAAGGAATATTTTCCATAGAATAAGCATCTACTTTTTTATCAATCCATGATGCAATTTCAGCCGCATGTGTTTCATTAATAACTTTTGAAAATGGTTCAGTTGTTCGTATTGGTAATGGTTGTGTCACGATCGTGCGAGGTGGAAGAATTGTTGATGATACAGGTTTATTTGGAGAAATAAATCGCTTCTTTATATCCTTCCAAAGGCTTTTCTCAAGAATTTGTTTATACGGATATACATGTTCATAAATGTCATCTCCAGATATTTGAAAGTATCTAATAAGAGGTAAGCAGTTTTGTAAGGTAGTCTTTAAAGCTAGAAAGTTCTCATGAGTCCAATCTTTAGGATTGGATGGTAAGTCTACATTTTGAGCAATTCCCCATTTGATAACATAATTCCAAATTTTTATTTCTTCCATTTGTAAATCATCTCGTCCAATGAGTGATACTAATGCATTTTCATGAAGCGAAGTAAACTCTTCAGAATCAAAAACCTTATCAGGATATTTTACTACGATATCATTGCTCCACTTTTGTAATTCTTGAAATGCATTGCTTTTGAAACTTTTTTGATAGACATAAGCGAAATGTAAACGAAGCCAGTGAGCTTTTGTTTCAATTAAATGAGTTTCAATATATTTAGCCAATTCTTCAAAAAGAAATTCGCAAGCAATAAGCATGAGATCAAAGATAAATTTTGTATCGAGATTTTCTAATACAGCTACACCACCATATATATACCTTTATATTAAATTAATAAAGTTAATAATTTAACATATATATATGTAAAATTAAGAATTTAAATTATAACTTACTTGATAATAATATCAAATTGTTGAACAGAAACATGATTCAAATTAATTGTTTTGAATCCATTTTTATCTTTATCGATATTTGCCAGCTTATTTTGAAAATATGATGACCGATATCTTAAAATAGCAGAATGTGCTTGGAATATTTTAGCATCAGAAGATTTGCCAACACTAATCATTACATTAAAGTCTTCTTTGTCATTAAGAAGTTCTGTATAATCATTGGAAAGTTTTTTCAAAAAACTTGACCGCCATTTTAATGGTTTTGATAGTAAGAGAATGCTCAAATGTCAATTTATTGCATGAAACAGCCTAATCTAGATTTGAACTACGTACGTCGTACGTACGTTGTGAAATGGTAGATCGTTGCTCTTAGTGTATTTGGTGATTCGGATGTGTATCGATATTGGATTTGGCTCATTTAGGATGTATAGGATAGCTTAGTGGAGCAACCAAAATTCAGCAGATCGACCAAAATTCAGCAGATCGACCAAAATTTAGGGTCGGAATAGGCCCGGGGCTAGGCCGACATTAAGCAATAATACAAGCCAACTATACTACAGCAAAATTATCATCTGGGCAACTTTACTTAGTACGTGGGCTACCATTTCATCAGTAAAATTTTGTGTGATTTTGGGAGAAATTTGGCAATTTCGCTAATCTACCTGTACGTATGCTGCAAATGGGTAAATCAATGCTGAGGTGGTTCAGATCGAAGTTAGCTAGTATGGAGGAAGTTCAACTTAACGAATTTATTGAACTTGTTGAATTTGTCGAATTTATTCGATTTATCGCATTTGTTGCATTTAGTCGAATATATTCATTGTGTACAAACTAATAGTGAGAAAGTATTAAGATAGACTTTAATAAAGTAGCTTAGCAATAGCTTGGTTAGAATTTAATATTATTTGGCTCTACTAATCCCTCGATAAGTAAACTCTATAGTGGGTTCCGATCAATTCACCGACAATCATTTTACCGAACGCTCATTTAGCCGACATCACATAGGGTTAGGGTTAAGCATTTGATTAGTTACAGGTATATATTTTTACTAAATTTCACCTGGAGTGATGTCGGCTAAATGAGCTGTCGGTGAAATGATTGTCGGTGAAATAATACGAACCCCTCTATAGTAACGGTAGGAACCCGTGACGTAGACTAGAGCTCTATTACTCGGACCAAGACTTTCCACGCCTCGATCGAAGCATTGCCATTATTAGGGTTTAGTTAGTGATTAATGGAACAGGATGTCAAAAATGATTGTTATTATTGTGAATTAAGGCGTTTAAATTATTCGTAAAGCATAACAGGTTTCAGAAATAATGATTTTGAATATTTCTATTTTATAACAGCGATAGTATTATCTAATCCGAGATGTTATAAAATAGGACTTCTATCTCATTTTCTAAATTCGAAAGTTAGAAACACAAATAAGAATTTTTAAGCACTCACTTATTTTCAAACGCTCAATTGTATTATTCTACAATTGGAAATCGTGAATTCTATTATTTATACTAGAAGGTAGAGCCCTGCATGGGCGGCAAAATTTGTACATTTGCCAGTTTGTGTAAGTTTCTGGAATCATAATTACAAGCAATTTTGATCATGTGAATGATTTGGGCCAAAAGTTTTATAAAGCTAACATAAAAATAAATATAATAATAACTTTTGTAATGTTAGTGCAATTATCATGTGACAATGCGCTATATATTGTAAAGTTACATTACAGTTTCGTAAGTTACAATGTAATTTCATGTAATGACAAATGTAATTTTTGCCGGTATTACTTAAAGAAGTATAGTCGGAACGATAAAAGTAGTTGCGTATGATATTGAAAATAAAAAAGTGTATGATATACGTACATGTATGATAATAAATATTTCAGCTATACTAAAAATTATTTATTATTCTATATTAAAGCAATTACAAAGTTTATTTTTTTTACAAAGAATTCTGTAAGAAATTTATTTTTTTCAAATAAACCAGCAAAGCAAAAAAACATATAAATTATAATTAATGTTCTAAACTATGTTCGAAATGCGTAATTCTCTTAATTTTTTCTTTCTTTCTTCAAGTTGTAATAATCGTTCTTCATACTCTAATTTTTCCATTAGCGACATTTATGTTTCCTTAAAATTGTCTTTATTTATAGTGACTTCATCATTAGTTAAATCAATTTCTGAAGATTTTTGAAGATTTTTTAAACTTTTTATTGTTTGTTTGCAATGAACTTTTCGTTTTGTGCCTTTAGATTTCTTATTATTTATAAATATAATATAATAATTATATACATTTAATTATATACTTACACTATCAGTTTCGGATTTCTCATCATCGAACAGTTCCAAATCCTCTTCATATATAGTTTCTACACCATCGATAACATGAACGCAATGATTCATTTTTAAATGTGTATTTTTGAACCGTACGAATAATTTGAATTTAAGTAAATTTGACTATTTGTTGTGGCTTTCACTGATCACGAATATTAATTTTTAGTACAAGGTCGACCACCAACGTCCCAATATGAAGTTATGGGTTATGTTCACACTAGTGTCGAAAGTGTAAGGTAAATTTTTTTTGTGTTCTTTATATATATGAAATATGACTCTGAATTAATTAAATGATAATTTATTTTACGATATTTGACTTCTACCTTTATTATATTATAATTTATCATTCGCTATTTGACTTTTATCAATTACTACATTTTTTATTAATCGTAATCGATTTTGCGCTTGCATTATTGACCTTGGTTATTTAATTCGATCAATGATCGCAATCAACTCATGTGATCACGAGACCTTTCAAACCCAACCAACGAAACTAAGTGATAAGTTTCCTTACAATATTCATATATATATATATATATTTCTTTTGCACTAACTAACTCTAATTCCTTAATTTAGAAACTCCTTAACTTTACACCACAGACCACATATCTTTCATTGCAGAACTGATTTTGACCACGATACTATTGTTTTATTCGTAACCACAAGCTACAAATTTATTATTCAGTATTGCATTGTTGAATTTATTATGCCGAAGACTTACTATCATACACGAGTATGATGATAAAAGCTTGTCATACGTAACTACTTTTGTACTCCCGACTATACCTACGCACGGCTGCAACATAAAATTTACTGCTTTTTAAATTCTACCAGAAAGTTCTAAACTTTGTAATCTGCCATTAACGGCACGATCTGCATTATAAAAAAGGCATGTGGCGATCAAACATTTCTGCTGGAAAAATGAACGTTCGATATGGAAAACGACTCAAAAAGTGTGCGCTGAAAAATAAAAGTATAAATAACTTCTTTTTCACATCAAATAAAATGCAAATTTAACCAATATTTATAATGCCTCTATAGTGCTACTCCTTTAATAAGCACGATTCCCACTTTTAAATATACTATACATCTTGACTTTACTCGATGACTCATGTCTTTGTTATTTTTTAAATTTAATACGCTTTCATTGTAATTATCATTTTTAATTATATATAAAGCGAATTTTCAGCAAATATAGAACTTAAATGTAGGTTATTAAACTATACAGCCTTTCGCTTTCAATATACAAAAGTTAGACAAATAAAATAAAGTATAAATATGAAACACAATGGAGAACAATGCGTAAACTGCAATAAAAAGCGAATACTTAAATCCGATAATCTATGTATTCGTTGCCATTCCAAACAAACTAATTGTATTGGCTGTAATAAAAAGAGAAAACTTAAATATGAGAATAATAAATTGTGCGCAGGCTGCTATTATACACAATTCCAGAATGTTGTTAGTAGCGGAAATCAGGATATTGACAATCTGATTAAAGCAACATACAAGAACCAACTTAAATTTAGATTAGAATGGATACCATTTAACGATTTTACAGATATAAACCAAATTGGAACTGGTGGTTTTAGCGAAATCTATACTGCTACATGGACAAAAGGAAGAATAATAAGTTGGAATAGAACAAAAAATGAATGTAATAGAAGTAAAAATCAAACGATTGTTTTAAAAATTCTTAAAGACTCCCAAAACATTA